AACTAGGATAACTTTTTAAATTCTTTTTTACTTTCAAAGGTAAGAGGCACTAAAAGGGCCCTTTTTCTCTTACCCTTGGCGAGTCGACAACCGGATGCCGAGCAGCCTGCCGCTCTGGGGATCCGGGATCGAATTCCGATCGGTCGAAAAACTCCAGGAATTTTTCCGTGTTTTCTTCGTCCAGACAAATAAGGCCCGTCCCTAACGATCCACACTCCCCCTTGTAGGTTTGGCCAAACCCATAATCGGGTTGCTAAATAAAGTTTCTCTTAGTGCCCACTGGAGATAAAGGGGAAAAAATGGCCACCGTTTAAAGATGGCCTTTATTAGAGGTTCGACTGTACTTAAAACTTATATGAAAATAATTATATAATTTAATTTTAAAATATCACTTTCATATAAGCGACGTAGAGTATTAATTAAATGCTCATACAATATAGAAATAATTGATCGAACTTCACTTTTCTGATAATCGATCCGATTGATCAAAGAACATAATCAAGTTAAATACTCATTCTTTGTACAATTTAATCTTTGATTTTTCATTGAGTTTGCTTCACTCTCTTAAAATTTTATTAAATTTTAATTACCGGATTTTATTACGTAATATACATATTAAGGAGACAACAGCGCCAAATGCTGCCCTAGCGGCCAAGTTTTGAATTAAATTTTTTTCTTCTGAAAATCAAACCTACATACTCGGGGCAGTGGGTATATCAAATTTGGTTGAAATTTTCTCAAAAGTTATTTCTACAGAGAGCTCTGAACACTTAAAGTTTAACTAGGATCAACCTGTATATTTAAGGGATTGGAGAAGATATTGATTATCACACAAATTAATTATTAAAATAGGACATAAAATATATTCAGCACCTAATTTTTCCAACTTAAAAATTAAATTAATTTACATTTAATCACGGTTTTAATTTATATTTAATGTATATATTATTGACAAATGGCAGTTGACCTTGCTTATCGCGGTTCCTGTAGCAAATAATTTAAATTTTAATTAAATTTTCTTTACGAAACAATAAAATAATCTACCTAATAGCTAAAATTTAAATAATTTGTAAGCTCTAAAAGAGCAAGATTAACTGCAATTATGATTTTCATCTAAGTTATTTAGCATGCAACCAATAGGAAGACACATTTAAAAAATTTTCTAATTCTAGAAACATAAATTTAATTAAAGATGCGGTTATAAATTAATATTAAGTTGAATTTTAATATTTTAATATATTTTATAGACTTATTTGGCACACGAAATTGTAAAATTAGTTCAAACGTCTTGACCTGAAAGCCTTTTCTTACATCTAACACAGAGCATCTTCGTGATTTATTGCATTTTCAACATATCATCTTCGTGTTCTTTGGCCAAAATCTTATAAAAATAATTTCAATAAAACCGTAAAATAATCATTTTTATACAGTAAATTACCTAAATTTAACAATTTTTTTCATAAATTAAACATATATATCTTGTAATTCCTCATGTTTATCAGTATACACATCTGAATTACTCTATTGAAAATGGCTTAAACAGTTATAAATTATGGTCTGTTTTTTAATTAAACATGAAAAATATTTAATAAAATATAAAAAAGAATAAATGAGACACTTTAAAATACCCTAAAATTTATTTATTTTTTGAGTAATTTTACATTAAATATTGAAAAATCCTCTATTATATACAAGTGGCCTAATTTTCTCCATCAGTGGGATCGATAAATGAGGCGAGTTGCTCTAATATAATAAATTTAACTTTAAAATAAATTTTAATGGCTTAAAATATATATTTTTCCAAGTTTTAACTTGAAAAATATTATATATTTATTTAATTAAACTTTAATTTTCATATATTTTTATTATTTTCCAAACTTCTCTTACTCAACATTTATAATATTAATTTCTGAAATACTGTATTTATATATTTTACTTAAATCTTGAAATAAAAACAAATAATAATAATTTGATTAGAAGAAGAAAATAATATACATTTTTTATTATTATATTAAACTATTAATTTTATTTAAATAAAATAAATTTAATTTATAAAATCCTGCAAGGAGTTGCATGACTTTCCAGCAAGTGTTAAAATTGCGTGTGGCGCCATCTGATAGGAGATTCTACAAAAAAAAAACTTTTTATATGGTAAAAGGCTTAATTTTGAGGGTTGAAAACGAGTTTTCTGACAAATTGTAAATGCTAATAACGAGTAAAATCTTCATTTAAGTCCGACCTTACTCGAGATACGACACGCGACTCTCTCTATCTCCCCATCCTCTCGACCTTTAACCTCCAAAATTTAACTGCATCAACGCCCCAAACACACGAACCTCCCTGCTAAATTTCAGAAATTTTTAACTAAGGGCACGGGAGTTATTAACCTTCAAATTGGGTGGACAAAACCGTGCCCCCACACACATATCCTAAAATCTACATGTACAGAAAAAACCCTAAATTTTTTTCTGCATTTATGGATATTTCGAGATCCCCCGAGCCCAAAAATCTAAAAATCTTGAAAGTGGGGTCATTTTTTTAAAACGTTCTCCATACTTACTCTCTGTTATACATAACGGTAGAGGTGCACAATTCTAGATTAAAATAATAATATTTTTATTTTATAAATAAATTATAGTAAAAAAGAAATTAAAATAAATTAATTTAAGAATAATTTTTTAAAAATTCAAATTTAAACAATTTATATTATAAAAATTCATTCATCTCCGATTTAAAAAAGGAATTTTTTTGGTCTTAAGCCCCTGTAAAGGTTTCTTCCTTTCGAAGCTTCTGAGTTAGAAGGAGAAGCTTCCTACTTATTCGAATTAATCGAATTCTATTATTTTTCTATGAATTTTTGTAGAAATTTTATTATTTTTAAAGTAAGAAGAAATTTAATAATGTTAATTTTATTTTGTTTTTATTTCCACGAAGTTATTTATTTTTTAAAAATAAAAAAAAATAATAAAGAGGAAAAATGTGAAAGGATGTTTTTAAAATTGAAATTCTCCTTTCTAAGAAGAGAATAAAAGAAAATTTCTAGAATATTTTCTAAATTTCCATCATTTTATTCTCTTCTGAATCATCTAAATTTAGTTTATCTTTATTATTTTATTTATTTTTAATATTTTCTGGTAATTTATTTAAAATCATTCAACTTTTATTATGTTATTTAAAATGCCTTATTTAATGCTTATAAAAATTTAATTTATATTATCAAAATGTGTTAAAATTATATAATAAAATTCGAAGTTTTATAGGAGAAAAAAATTCGTTTAACCAATTAGAAAACATTTTAGAGATAGCTTATTAACATTTAACCAATAAAATGTCTAGAAATTAATCACGAAATTACTCGATTGGTAGTTTCTTTAACAAAAGAAAAATATAAAATATAAAAAAAATATTAAAAAATTTAATTATCGGACAGTAATTTGGAAGTTTTTAACTTTATTTAAACAAAATTCGACTCGACCACTTTAAGTTTCTGCCATAAATCTCTTCAGTATATTAATATAATTTTCAGAAAAGCCTTCGGTTAGACAGGTAGACAGGCCTGCAGAGAAGATACAAAGGATAAAGTTTTTAACTTTTTAATTTTACGAGAAATTTAAAGTTTCGTGTTTAAAAGTATAAAAAATAAATATTGATAGACAGACGCAATTTAATTTACGCTGATGAAAGATTAATATGTATTTTATAAATTATAAAAGTTTTAAGCTTATAAGTTAATAAATTTCCGAGAAATCTTACGAATAGACAAGCGAACAGGCGAAGGATATAATTTTAAATTCGATGAATGTGAAGGAATATTTAATGAGATTTTTTATGTTTATCATAATTTTTAATTAATTTTATTATTTTAAATCATAATTTATTATTAAAAATTAATTAATAAACGTTTAAAATGTTAAAAATAAAGATATGAATCAATGATGAAGGAACGTTCACTTTGCAGAAAGTAACTATCGATTATATTTTATCTCACTTCATTTTCACTTTGAAAATTTCGATATTTATTTATTTATTTTCAATTTTTATAAAATAAATAAATAAAAACACAAGAAAATTCAATAAAAATTCATTCAATTTTATAAAATTCCATGCATAAAGTCAGTCCTTTATCAACTGCTAAACATGGGGGAAAAATATAATTTTATGCGAATTTTAATTTATTTTTAATTAAATTAATTAAAATAAAATAAAATAAATTATTTCCATTAAAAAAAAAACAATTTTTAGTAAATTTCGTCCTTATTATTTACAGAAGAATCCATTTTTATAAGAAGAATTTCCCATAAAAGTGTAAATTTTTACAAATCATTTCTAACATTAAATAAAGAAATTTTAAAGAGAAATTTCGCGAAAATCTGGCGAAATTTATAATTTTTTTACACATTTTCTGACGATTTATTAACAGATTTTAGCGCCTCTCCTTTCAGAAGAGTGATTAAAATAAGTAAATATAGTTCGAAAGGAGGAGGAAGAGGAGGAGGAGGAGAGAGGAGGTAAAAATACAGCACGAGCGCCACCCAACGGTTGCTAGGTAACCGGCTACACGTGATCTCAGTCCGTCTTCGCTTCTCACCCTTAACAGTCCATCTACGTTTTACTCCTCAGGAAGAAGCATGGCCGACTTCGTTTCTACTTAATCTATAAGATTTAGTGGTTGTGTGTACATAAAAATGATAAATTTCCCATGAAACTGACCGTGAAATGATAGAGGATAAAGAGTTGTGGTATATTTGATGATAATTATACCCAGAGGGGGGAAGATAATGACTAACAAAGTGAACTGCAAAGTCGAATTGAATGTGGATAAAGTGATCGAACAGCTGCTTTCTGTAAGGACAACACCCAGAAAACAGGTTAGTTTCTGTCCTTTTTAACAGGTTTTAAGTTAAGATTTTTACGTACAGACACGCGTCGTTACGTACTGCCAGTTAGAAAAACGTTAGAACTGATGCATTGTTTCCATTGTAAGTAAGTGATTTTGACCCCTTCGTGGGCATCCATCCAATGTGTTTGGAACAAAGAGTGCATCCTGTTTTGATCGAAATTACAACCTGTGGATTATATTGATGAAATCTAGACGTAAAAATTGATATCTGATCGTTTAGAAATTATTAAAATTAGCTTAATTGAAAATTAATGCATCTAATTGCCTTCAATTAAATCGGTGCTTACTATGTTTTGGAGGATGTAGAGTTAAATTTTTGATTATTCTCGGATTAATTCTACTGCTTTAAGCGGTAATTAAAGTTATTAATTTTCTTAAAAAAATCTCTACAAACACAATATTTAGATAAAATTTACTTTTTAGAATGTCTAAACACTTAAATTACGCGAAAATTCCTACGAAATTATCAATAGTTTTAATTAATTTCACGCTTCTCCTTCGTGCAAATCCCACATTTTGACACTCAATCTTTTATTTTTCTGGCTAAAAAACATTAAAAAATAAATAAAATATGAATATTTAAAGTTAATTAAAATTAATCAACCGATTTAACATCATTAAGCAATTAAATTTAACATGTTTTAATAGAAAAAACACCCAAAAAACCCTTCAAAGTCAATAAAAAAATCCCGCATTTCAACATCAATTTACGAATTTTTGAGCAATTATCAGCACTTAAAACACTATTTAGACGTACTTTTTCGGTAAAATTTTAATTATTTTAAGTATAAATTTAATTATTAATTAATACATTTTAGTAATTTCGTGTAATAATTCACCGATTGCCATTCCCAAACTCAGTGTTTCCTCTCGACGTCCTTTACTGGTGCTTATGGTGTTGATGCCATTACATTAAACAAGATTTTAATCGTGGAAAATGATAGAAATTCCTACGAAATTTAAACATTTACATGGAAAATTGTATACATTATCATCTTAACTTAATGTTTCCATTCTATAATCACGCTGTATTCAATCGTGCAGACACGAGAAACATGTTTTCCCCTACGCCACTGACAATCATGCAAACTAATAATTACACATTGAGTCACGGAAACGAATGTCTTCCTATGGGAAATTTTCATATTTTCCAAAATTTCCATTCAGATATTCGATTTTAATTTAGTATTTTATGATTGTCAATCTTTTATTTTCTCCTGGAAGTAACTTTGACACGTTTTTGATCGATCGTTTCCTACTCAAATCCGATAAACAACAGGAGAAAACTCTGCACCTTTTCTTTGTTTTCTCGTGTTTCCTATCGGAAACAATCTCTTAGAAACGTAAGCATTAGTTTAAGTTGCTAGAAAAATGGTGTTTTCAATGATTTTTCAGTTCCGGAAACAGTTTTGGTGGGGGAATTTCTCGTTATAGAAACAAGAACTGGAACAGGAACTGATTATTTATTCCATAGAGTGAGAGAGGAAACGTGCCTCGTTTCTGCGGGAAATTTCGTGAAAACTTCAAGCAAACTTTGTTTAAGTTCTGTTTGAATTGACGTTTCCAACGAGAAAAAAAAAGTTAGTTTAGGAGTAGAAATTTAGGAGCAGGACATTAGAAACAGGAATTAAGGAGCAGGACCTTAAAAACAGGAATTAAGGAGCAGGACATTAGAAACAGGAATTTGGGAGCAGGAACATTAGGAGCAAGAATTTGGGAGGGTAAAAACTTAGAAACTGGATCGTGGAAACAGGAATTTAGAAGTAGGAAGAGGAGCCCCCGTCCTTAGGATTATACTCCTACGGACAGAATAACACGAGTGCAAGAATCTACAAAAAAATTCTCAGAAAAAAAAACTCGATGGACGGGAACAGAAGCGTCAATTCCCACGGAAACGAATAAGAAAATAAATCATAAAAATCCAGGCAAAATACGAAAAAGAAGGGCATCAATCAGGTATTTCCTATACGGAGGACATAATGTAGGTCAGACAGACGAACGAGACCTTGCACTTTAACAGATACATTTTTAGAAAAATCAAGTGAATAATCTAAATGATGTTTACTACTTCACTTGCCTCCATCCTTTTTATGTTCTTTTTTTTTCCAAATGTCTGCGACCTACTTTTGCACATACAGACTTTGCCCCTTTATTTCTCTCGTTTAACCGATGCTGTTTAGTATTCTGACGTAGTTAATGCCCTACACGAAACGGGCATTTAAATAATTGCATAAGTCCAAAGACTTCGATTAATTTCCGAATATTAAACTTTGACCTTTGCTCGCCGCTTCCGGAAAATCAATTTCGAATGCCCCGAAACTAATTCTAACCTACAAAAATGGTAGTCCCGACCGAAATTATTATTTTTATAAATAATTTTTTGGTCATTTTCTAAAATTTTCGTGCATTTTTTTTTGGAAATTATCATCTAAAAAATGAGAAATTTGANAGTTAAGTCCGACCGCACACGTGACTCTCTCTATCTCCCCATCCCCTTGACCTTTAACCTCTAAAATTTAGCAGAATCCACGCACCTAATACAGAAACTTTCCTGCAAAATTTCAGAAATTTTCGACAAAAAACACGGAAGTTATTAAGCTTCAAAGTGAGTGAATAAGATCGTGCCTCCCACAAAACACAAAAAACACAAGCAAAAGTTAATAAAATGACATCATTTTAAAACTGAATTTTCCCAATAAATTTGATGAAAACGAGCCTAAAAAAAAAATTGCATTTTTTTCCCAAGAAAGTTTTAAAAATAAGCCTTAAAAATTGCATTTTTTCCAAGAAAGTTTTAAAAATAAGCCTTAAAAAATTGCATTTTTTCCAAAAAAGTTTTAAAAATAAGCCTTAAAAATTGCATTTTCTGACAAAATTCAAATAAAATGAGCTTTAAAATTTCATTTTATCAAGAAATTTAAATGAAAACATCCTCTAAAATTACCTTTTTTAAAGCAAGAAACCGATCTGTACTTTTGTTTTGTTAATTTGTTAAATTAGAAATTTGTACTTTTAATTAATTAAAAGTACAAATTTCCAATAAAGTTTTTATTCTTGAAAAAAAAATTTTATTTCAATAAAAATTTAAATAAATATTTCAATATTTTTTCTAATAAATTTTCAAAAAAATACACTCGGAAAATATCTATTTTTAGATAAAATATCACACCATTTTACAGAATGCACTTGTCTTGAGCACCTTCAACTAAGGCATAAAAAGTCCCCCTTTTTTTTTACGTTTCTTTTCAGGAAAAACATGTAAAAGTTTATGTTCGGTAAAAAATTTTTCATAAATTTTATGTTTCCTGTTGTTTCATTTTTGTAGAAACATCCTTTTGTCGTTTCTATAACTATTTAGAAAATGTATAAAAAGTCAAAATGTAAAGCTAAAAAAATGACTTTTTTATATTAAATTCTAAAATTATTGTGTAAAAAGTTAAGTAAATACATAAAGAAGTTTATAAACTATAATTTATAAGTAATTTTTTAAAGATTTTTAACGTTTTATTTCGTAAAATTCGTAAAAAAATCTGTAAAAATGTAAAATTTTAGGTAAAAAATAAGTATTTTTAAGTCAAATTCTAAATATATTATATGAAATATGTATAAAATAAATAGATAAGTTTATAAACTATAAATTATACTAATAATTTTTTTTAATTTTAAATATTTTAGCTGTTAAAAATGCTTATTTTCTAACAGATACGACAAAAAAAAAATCCACTATATTAAGTCAAAAAATTGCGATTTTTTAAAATAAATTCTAAAAATATCTTATAAAAAATTAATTAAATAATTAAATCACTTTATAAACTATATATTTTACTTATAAATTAGTTAAACTTTTAATATTTTAGCTTTTAAAAACCCCTACTTTCTAACAGAAATAGCGTAAAAAAATGTGATTTTTTTTTTGCATAAATTCTAAAAATATCTTACAAGAGATTAATTAAGCAAGCAAACAGGTTTATAAACTACACAATTTAATTATAAATTCTATAAATTTTTAACAATTTGATCCGTAAAAATGCAAATAATACAAGCACTCCCATATATTTATATATATAGATTATACATTATTGGACTGTCGATGATGGTCGTTAAAGACAGGTGTTACACGTCACGAAACACGTCGAAAAGTCACAATTCCAATAAAACTAAGAAGAATATAGGTCATGCCGTATTTACCTATTAAAATTGATGATAAATTTTAATAATTGAATGATATATTTTGAAGTATAAGTTCGAAATTCTCTACCGGTACAGTCTCTAAAGTTGTTGGATGTCATCCAAGAATTTCTATGGATAAATTTCTGCAGAATCAGGAATTTTTCTTGTTTTTATGTAATAAAATAAACAGAAATTGTATTTATGATAGTTTATAATTAATTTTTCGTATGTTTTCTACGTAATTTTGCATAAACTTATGCCATTTTTTTGGTTTGTAAATGTGGGATGAACCGGGAGAAAGTATGTTAAGTGATGCTGCGGCACCGCTTTACATTCGTGATGATAATAAATTAATTCCAACACACCCTTTGCTTTAAATTGATTTTTTAGATGGAAAAATGATGTTTTTTTTTTCACGTCGCAGCTTTATATTAATGAATGGAAATTTTTAGAAGGTAAAAAAAAAATAATAATAATAATAAATTTTCTCCTCCCTGCAAGGTCTGTAATCCTTCGAGTGATGCTGTGGATTTTATGAGATTTAAACGTGTCTTTTAAGCTTCCTGTGCTAAATTTTGCCAAAAACTAAATTATTTTCGCTTAAATTAATATTTTTCGATCATGTTTAGTCGGCTGCGACACTAAAAAATTGTTAACTATCGAGAAGTTCGACTTTAAAAAAAATGTAGATCGCAAACTACCAGTTGAAGAGTAAATTAATGATATAACTACGTTATAATTCTTCAACCTGTAAATTAAATAAATTATCGATGTAAGAAGTGATTTATAATTACGTGT